AATTTAATTAGGAAATAATTAAAGTTAACAGTTATCTCCATCTGGGGGTAATGGATTAGCCACCTGAAGGCTTTATCTGTTTGTAATCTCCGCCCAGGCTGACAAAATGTCAAAGAATAAGAAGAAGAAATTGAAGAAGAAGCAGAAGCGCCAGGCAGAATTACTAGAGAAGCGAATGCAGGAAATTGAGGAAATGGAAAAAGAGTCGGGCCCTGGGCAAAAAAGACCAAACAAGAAAGAAGAATCAGAGAGTCCTGTTGAAAGACCCTTGAAAGAGAACCCACCTAATAAAATGACCCAAGAAAAACTTGGTATAAATAGAACATCACAAAAATTACTTCATGGCACACGTTAGCATTGATTTGTCATTGTTGTGTGGTGTAGGGGTTTTGTGTATACTGCACATCTCTGGGGGTTCATTGTAAGAATACAGATCTTATAAATGTTAGGCAGGTAATACTCAAATGTAACTTCTGCCTTTCCTTAGGAAGTGGAAAAGACTTCATTTAGCAATTGGGTAAGGGTAAGATCTTTGTCCTTCTACAAATAGGTTTTATATGTTCAGTTATATTTTTATGTCATTCGGTATAACTTCTAGAAAACGTTTAATCTGGCAAGAAATTTTTTTTTGTTCTTTAACTCACACACATACACATACATCCTTTTTGTTTGTTTGTTTGTTTCTTAGAAGAGTCAAGTACCATTGGCCAGGATCAAACACTTATGGAACGTGGTGTAGAGGGTGGTGCAACAGAAATTAATTGCAATGGAGTCATTGAAATCGTTAATTATACTGAAAATGGTAATGAAACATTGAGGCTTAAAGAGGATCTACATAATGCTAATGACTGTGGTGTCCAAAATTTGAAGCAGGAACCTAGATTCCTAAACTCCCAAAATGGAGACAGTAGCACATCTCAAGAAACAGACTCTTGTACACCTATAACCTCCGAGGTGTCCGATACCATGGTATGCCAGTCTTCCTCAACTGTAGACCAGTCTTTCAGTGAGCAGGACATCAGCCAACTTCAAGAGAGCATTCGAGCAGAAATACCCTGTGAGGACGAACAGGAGCAAGAACATAACGGACCACTGGACAGCAAAGGTACCGTGCGGGCAGCACCCTCAGTACCTCCCCTGCACGACACCTTCGTGAATTTCCAGATTCAAAGTACCATTGGTTTTTGTTTTTGTTTTTGTTTTGTTTAATTTTTAAAAAAAAAAAAAATTTTTTTTTTAAATTTGCTATAGGGTACATGCATTCACCAGAGAGAGAGAGAGAGCAAGAGAAAGCTAGCCACCAGGTCCAGAACTTGAACCATGGTCAGCCATGTAGGAGTCCAGTGCCTTAACCACTATGCCACCTGCTGGCCCCACCATTGGTATTTTAATATATATAGATTTACAGCCAGTGTCCATATTACCCTCAGTGTTTAAATCCATGGCTAACTTTAAATTTTGTTCGTCATGGACTGGGTGCAAACCATTTCACTTGCTACTGGGTAGACAGTTTTAAATTCTAGAAACTGAAGTTGTTACTGTGCTCTTTTTATTTTAGAAAATTTATTGTAGATTGCCAGTGGGGGTGGGGGGACAGCTTTATTACCATTTAGGATTTTAATGTTCATTGAACAGTCTCACTGATGGTACCTGTTGTCTGTAGGAAAATCCACTGCTGGAAATTTTCTCGTTAACCCCCTTGAGCCAAAAAATGCAGAAAAACTTAAAGTGAAGATTGCTGACCTTGGAAATGCCTGTTGGGTGGTAAGTTACATTTATCTCAGTGCTATATTTTTTGTTTGTTTTTTTTTTAATTTACCAGAGGACACATGTACTTGCCAAAGAGAAAGGGAAAGTAGGAAAGGACCCACCATGGGGCATGGTCGTGCTGCAATATCTCCTCTTCCGTTTCTCTCACCTTCAGGGATTTTTAGCACACATGCACACAGTCCTGGCGTGTTTTGCAACCCCCTGGTTCCAGGATTTGAACTGCATGGTTGACCATGTAGGATCCAGATATCTTGACCATCAGTCTATGGGCTGACCCACAGTGCTATATTTTGAAATAATTTAAAATGTATGAGAATTTAGACTTAGTATAATAAAATATCTGCAATTCTACAAAAATATCTGTAGTTGTATACCCAGACTGCTGCTTAACTTACCTACTTACTTCTGTAGAGAGATTTTTGCTATAGGGCGCATGCTCTTGCCGGAGACCATGTAACCATTGATCAGCCATGTGGGAGTCCCTACTGGTCCCTATCTTTCTATCAGTCATCTACCTGTCTATCTATCTATCTACTTATTAAATTTGCTAGAGGTTGTGTGTTCTTGCTGGGGAGAGAGGGAGAAAGTGAGAAAATACCCTATAACCCCTGTGGGGGATAGTCACAGCTCAATCCCTTCTTCATTTTTCCTTTTGGGATTTTGGGCACACACCCACACACACCTAGCTTGTTTTTTGATCTACTGGGTTCAGGATTTTAACCACATAATTGGCCATGTGGCATCCAGGTGCCTTAACCACCATGCCACTGACTGGCCCCAACCAACCAGTTAACGAGTTAGCAAATTTTACTTTTTCTTTTACCCTCTTATTTGTATGTTTATTTCTTTCAAGAAGCACTCTCAGGGTCTCATAACACCTCAGTCCCTACCCCTAACTTCAGCCTTCCTGCCAGCCGAGATCATGGGCATGTGCATTCCTGCATACTCAGGTCAACCCCTGTTCTCCATAGAGATCACAGCATTGTAGGGCAGCACTCCGTTGTTCAGCCATCACTGTTGGGTTTCTCTTAACCTCTTCTTATGGAAAGGTTCAGATATATTTACAGAAGTAGAAAGAATGGTTTAATGAAACAATCGATCTCCTCACTAAGTACCCAATCACTTAACATTCAGGAATGTCAGCTCCTGGCCAATCCTGTTTCACCTCTGTTCTTCATTTTCACACTCTCAGTGTCTGCGTTCATTCTCTTATCCCAACCCCTGTCCCCCATTTTCAAGATTGATGTCTAGCTTATAAATTGTAACCTCCTTAATCCACTTAATATATTTTGGGCACATTTTTATTGCCAGCAGGTGTCTGTACTTACCAGATGGGAGAGAGAGAAAGCAGCCCCCATTGAAGCATGGCCACACCACAATCCCTTTTCCTATATTTCTCAGTCCCATCAGAATTTCAGGCATGTATGCATACATACCTGGTGTGTTTTCCAAGCCACGAGAACCAGAACTCAAACAGCAATTAGCCATATGGGATCTGGCTCCCCATGCACCGTGCTTAAGCACTGCACTACAGGGTCAGCTCTGGACACTTTCTTTGTCAACCAATAATTTTTATAAAATTCAGTTGATTATGTAGTATTTGCTAATATAGTGTAATTGTTACGATTTTAAAAATAATTTGTTATAGGGTATATGCACTCACTGAGAGAGACAGACAAATAAACACAGTGGGAAACCACCCCTTGAGGAGATGGCCACGTTTTAGGCTCCTCCCCATTCTCTCTGGAGTTTGGGCGCAGATGCACACACTCCCAGCATATTTCTTGAAACTGTTGGGTCCAGGACTCGAACAATATAGTTGGCCATGTGGGATCTAGCTGCCTCAACCACCAGGCCACACATTTTGATAGCTCTTTGTGATAAGAATCTTTGCATATGAATCTTTGTATAGTTGTGCTTAGGATGTGTCCTAGATGTGAGATTGCTAAGTATCTTTTTTAATAATTATTTTATTTTATTCATTGACATTATTTTATTTTTTGAAGTTGACCAAAGACAGACAGAGAAGGAAAGTGAGAAAGCAAGCCGTCATGTCTGAGACTCGAACCACTGTCAGCCATGTGGGAGTCCAGCTGCCTTAACCTCCACGCCACCTGCCAGCCCCTAAAGTTGTGTACTTTTTAAGAACGACTATATGATATTGAGAGGAAGAGAAAAATCTTGCATGTCTGAGAGTCTTTATTCTACCTTCATACTCGGTTGACTACACGTAGAACTCTAGGTTAAAAGTATTTTCCTTCCGAATGTTTGTTGTTCTTCCATTGACTTCTAGTTTCCAACTAGGTTTGTTGCTGCTGAAGACCAACGGCCATTCTGACTTTTGATCTTTGTATGAAACCCTTTCCCCCTGTGGAAATCTTAAGTATCATTTCAGTGATGTGCTTACTGTATTTTCATCCATTATGCTAAAGATCGAGTGTGCACTTTGCAGTATTGAAACCTTGGTTTTGAATTGTTCTTGGCTTGTTTTTTGTTTTATATTCTTTTTCTTGGTCTCGGTTTTCTACTTTTGAAATCACATTATTCAAATGTTAGACCTCCTATTTTCTACCATCTCATTTTTGCGTTATTGTCTCGGAAATTTGTTTTGTTTTGTTTTTGAGAGGTTTTACGCTATAGGGCGCGTGTGCTCGCCAGACAGAGAGAGAGAGGCATAGAGACAGAAAGTGAGAAATCACCCCCCAGGGGGGATGGTCACGCCGCAATCCCTTCTCCTCCATTCTCCTCTCGGGATCTTGGGCACACACGCACACGCGCCTGGTGTGAGTTTTAAGCCACCGGGTCTGGGATGTGAACCGCGGTTGACTACGTGGGAGTCCAGCTACATAGCCATTACGCTAACTGCTGGTTCCTTGTTTTGTTTTTTTAAATGAGCTTCATTGTTTCTCATTCCTATTATATTTTATTTACCAAGAGTTCTTTAATTCTCTGATTTCTTAAAAGTAGCATTCTATTTTCTTTCATAGAAATATCTTTTAAAAAAGAAAGTCTCTCGGGGCCGGCAGGTGGCATGGTGGTTAAGGTGCTGAACTTGCACATGGCAAACCACAATTCTAGTCCCAGAACCGGTGACTTGCTTTCTCACTCTTCTTCCCTCTTTCTCGCTCTTGCTCTCTCTATCTCTCTGGTAAAATTGAAGAAGAATAAATAAAATTCTTTAAAAATAAAGTCTCTCAAAAGATACTATTTTCCCCTTTTTGACATCTTCTTTTCCTAAGTAATGTCTGTGGTCTTCTTTCTGTTCAAAAGCACACACAAAAAAAAGTCGACCACGACTGTCTAACCATATGAATAGCGTACTTAAAAGCTGTTTGGGACCAGCAGATGGCGTAAGGGTTACATTGCTGGACTCCTCCATCCTCCTCTCAGGCACACATCACATGTACACATGCCCAACATGTCCCTCAAGCTGCTGAGTCTAGCCTCCCTAACCACCCCCGCCCACCCCAACCCTGCTTTCTTCTATTTTTTGTTGCTCTGACTTCCTTGCTCTTCTCCGTTTTTGTCACTTGACATCACTTCAAACTTACTGTCTGAGCCAACGTTTTCTGTACGTGTTTCCACTAAATCTCTCTCCAGAAGACCACTTGTGCATTTCTGCAGCAGAGTTTCTTTTGGATCTTCCTGTTGTCTCCCACATCTACCCATTGGATTTTTAAAATTCTTTTTTTTTTTTTTTTCCGGTGAATGTACTTGGATCTAATTCTTCCCTCTCCTCTTCCCTTCCTTCCTCCCTCCATCCCTTCTTTCTTTCTTCCTGCCAGAGGGCATGTGCACTTGCCAGAGAAAGCCATGACAAAGGGGAAATTAGAGAGCCACACACACCCCCAATGGCGAGTGGTCATGCCACAACCCTTTCTTCTTTCCTCCTTCCTTTCAGGGTTTTGAGCATGTACACACATGTACTCAGCATGTCTTTCAAGCTGGCCATGTATCCAGCTGCTTTAACCACTACGCTACCAGGCTGGTTCTCCCTCCTCTTTCTACAATCATTTTCCAGATTTTTATCACCAAACCTAAGTCTGGCCACCAACCAGAAGATTTCTAGAGTGATGTTTTCAGATGTCATGTTAGTCTTCCTAACAGTACTTTCTCCTGTTGACTAACATGCAGTGGTACTCCCGTTCTCAGATCAGACAAATAGGACCCATACCTCTTAGCCTAGCCGTTACCTGTATTTGTCTGTAGCAGGTCTCTTTCTGTGCCTTTATTGGTGATGTTTTCTCTACTAGAGTACTCTTTGGTCAAACTTAGTCCAATATCCTTTGGGGCTCTCAGGTATACTGGGGTTTTTGTTCAGTTTTTTTTATTAAGAATTATTTATTTGGGAGGACCAGCAGATGGCGTAATGATTACATTGCTGGACTCGCACATGGTCGACTGCGGTTCAAGTCCCGGACCTGGTGGCTTAAAACTCATGCCAGGTATGTGTGCATGTATACCCAAAATCCTGATAGGAAAATGGAGGAAAAGGTATTGCGGCGTGACCATCTCCCCCAGGGGTGATTTCTCACTTTCGATTTCTCTGTCTCTCTGGCGAGCACATATGCCCTATAGCCAGAAAATCTATTTTAAAAAAGAAAAAGAATTATTTTTTTGGGACAAGCAGATGGCGTAGTGGTTACGTAGTTGGACTCCCATGTAGTTGAACGTGGTTTGAGTCCTGGACCCAGTGTCCTAAAACTCACCCAGGGTGCATGTGCATGCATGCCCAAGATCCTGAGAAAAGAATGGAGGAGAAGGGATAGTAGCATTCCTGTCTCTCTAGTGAGTGTACATCCCCGATAGCAAAAATCTCTCTTTAAAAAAAAAAGAGATTTATTTTATTTTGTTATTATTTTTTAAATTGACCAGGGAGAGAAAGGGGGAAAGAAAGTGAAAAGGCAAACCACCAGGTCCAGGACTTGAACCATTATCATCCATGTGGGAGTCCAGTGCTTTAAATACCATGCCACCTACCAGCCCCTTGTTTGATTTTTAATTCCCAGAGGAAGCATGTGCTTGTCAGAGAAAACAAGACAGGAGTAGAGAGAGAAAGCATCCCTCTAGGGAGTATGGTCATGCTGCAATTCCTTCTTTCTCCATTCTGTGGAACTTTGGGGCACACATGCACGTGCACCCAGTGTGTTTCTCAAGCTGCTGGGGCCAAGGCTCAAACTGTCGTTGGTCTCATGGGATCCAGCTCCCCTTAACCTTTAGGCTACAGGACTGGCCCGTATACTGATTTTTTTACCTGAAGGTTTCTGTGCCTAATTTCCCCTTTGCAAAGCCTTTTTCTTGTTTTTTAATTTCAAAAGAATTAGAGAATTATCTTCTACACTCTGCTATATACATCGTAATATTATTTGAATTTTGTTTTTTATATGACTCATACTAATCATTTTTCTTTATTGTTGTTATTTTTTATTATGGAACATTTCAGACATATGTAAAAGAAGAGGGAATAGCATGATGGATTTTCATGCCATTGTACTGCTGTCAACCGCAGTCATCAGTTCATTGCCAGTCTGTTTTTATCCATGATCCATTCGTGCCACCCACCTCAGATTGTTTTGAAGTATACCCCAGGCGTCTTATTTTCATTCATAAATAATAGTTTTCTGAAAGGTTCTTTTTGTTCTTTTGTTCTGGGTTTTTGTTTTTTTGTAAGTGTGATATATTGTTACATCTAAAAATGTTGACAGTTTTCTGGTGTTGTATTCAATTATTTTTCCTATTTATCTCATAAATATTATTTTAATTATATATGTTTGAGACAAGATTCAAAGAACGAGGGCCAGCAGGTGGCATGGTGGTTAAAGCACTGGATCCCACATGACCAACTGAGTTGTTCAAGTTCTGGACCTGGCGACCTAAAAACTATGCTGGCCACATGGGCGTGTGTGCCCAAAATCCCAAGAGGAGCCTGGAGAAGATGGGAATGTCGTGTGGCTTATGTCCTTGGGGCAGGGGTTTCTCATTGTCCGTCTTTCTCCAGCAAGCACACGTGTCCTATAGCTAAATAAATTGCGTGTGTGTGTGTGTGTGTGTGTGTGTGTGTGTGAAATCAGGTGCTCTACCTCTTAAATCGTTTTTGTTCTTTTTTAACTTGCCAGAGACTGGGGAGAGGAAAAAAAGCATCCTTCACTGGGAATAATGACTGCAATCCCTCCTCCATCTTGCCTTCCTCTTGAAATTGTGGGCACGTACACACATGCATCTGATACGCTGCTTATTCCACTCAGTCTGGGACTTGAACCATGCAATCAGCCATGTGGGATCTACTTCCTTAACCACAGGCCACAGTCTGGTCCCTTCAATTGTTTTTACTATAGAAGTTTCTCCTTTTTCCACATACATTTTATTGATTAATGAAACTCCAGTTATTTTACGCATGGTGCTTGGCATGGTCTCTGTTTCCCCAGTATTCATGTTTGATATTATGTATTATTTTAAGAAAAAGGTAGGTAGGGAAGAATTAGAGCAAGAATTCTTTTAGGTGGTAACAGAAATTATAAGTATCTTCAAACCTGTATCTTTTCTTTTCACATTAATGAGCACATAGCCAGTTTGAATCGAACCTAAATTAATGTCATTTATTTGTCAAAGTGCAATTTATTACTAATTTTAGATAAATGAGCACTTAATTGTGTTTGGGATAATAGTTTTCCAAAGTTATTGTCATTCTGTAGATCTGTGTATCTGTATTACGTTTAGACTCATTTTTTTTTCTTTTTTTGAGAGGTTTTCGCTATAGGGTGCATGCGCTCGCCAGACAGACAGAGAGACATAGAGACAGAAAGCGAGAAATCACCCCCCAGGGGGGATGGTCACGCTGCAATCCCTTCTTCTCCATTCTCCTCTCAGGATCTTGGGCACGCAACGCACACACGCCCGGCGTGAGTTTAAGCCACCGGGTCCGGGATGCGAACCGCAGTCGACCACGTCGGAGTCCAGCGACATAGCCGTTACGCTAACTGCTGGTTCCCCGTTTAGACTCATGTTTGCAAAAATTAAATTAATTTAGAGTAGTAGTGTTTAAGGTAAAGGGTTGTTTGGAACTAATAGCATAAAAATGATACTTAAGAAATTAGCTCAGGAAAAAGAAATTAACTCAGTGGATATTTTGATTTGGGAAAAACTTCAGGTCATTTATTTATTTTAATCTCCATTATTTAGTTCTGACTTGTTACTTTTTGAAACAAGTTAATTTTAAAATACTTTCTCTTTTCTCCATTTACTCAGCACAAACATTTCACTGAAGATATTCAAACAAGGCAGTACCGCTCCCTGGAAGTGCTAATAGGATCTGGCTACAACACCCCTGCTGACATCTGGAGCACGGCATGCATGGTAATGTTTGTTCTCCCTTGACCTTCAGACTTGTCTGTGATAGTTACATACTTTGCCCTGTTTGCTAATTTTAGTAGACCAGCAAATGAACAGGCGGGCACTCTAAATCCTCTATGTGGAGGGATCTGAATTCAAAAGCTTGGGTTTTTTTTGCTATAGGGCTTAGCACACACCAGAGAGAATGAGGGAGGGAAAATTGAGATATATACACCTCGCATCTCCAGGAGAGATGGCCACACTGCCGTCCGTTCTTCTCCATTCTCCTGTCAGGATTTCGGGCATACATGCACACACACACCCCACCTGATAGGATTTTCAAGCCACCAGGTCGGTTACTTGAACTGCGGTCCACCATATGGGAGTCCAGCACCTTAAGCATCACACCACCAGCTGGCTCAGAAAACAAGTATTTCTTACTCTGTCAGTTGTTGGGGAGAAAATAATGCCTGCTATCAGACATTGTTGGCTTTTTTTCTTTTGCTTTCTGAAATTTCAGGACAAGATTTGTGGGAGGCTGTGTGCATGCAGTTGCACGTATTTACATGCAAATAAATAGGAATAAACTGCACATAATAGGGAAACATTACGTGTCCTTGTCTGCCCCAAAAGTTGGCTCTTGACTAATTATGGGTGTGTTTGGGGAAAACACTAGAGAATATAATTTAATTCTTACTGAGATGTTCTTAGTGAGGGAATGAATATTCAGGGAAAGGGATCCAAAAGGGCATATCTATAACTTTTTATCTATCTAGAAATATTAAAGCTGCTGGGGCCAACAGGTGGCATGGTGGTTGGGGGTGCTGGACTCCCACATTGCTGACTACAGTTCAGGTCCCAGACCTGGTGACTCGTTCTCTCTCTCTCTCGTTCTGTCTCTCTGGTCAAATTAAAATAAATAAATAAATAATGTTAAATAAAAGAGTTTAAAAAAGAAAAAGCACTCCCAAGTGCTGCAATTTGATTCATAGAGCTCTTCCTCTGCCGTCAACAATACAGAATCTGACCTGCCCAAATGAAAAGGCAGAAGTGTCTGCATTGGTCGTAACTCCCATTGCCATGCACAGTAGCTGTTTGGGTTTCAGCAAAGAATATCACCTTTATTCAACAAAAATAAGTCAGTGGATATAGGACTGGAATACCATGTTAATGAGTAATATTTTGAGTTCTTTTCTTGTGAAATCATAGATTTGCTTTTTCGTTGTTGTCGCTTTCACAGAAGTTTACTAAATAGGGATAGTACAGTCACCAGTAAAAAGTATAAACTTGTTTATCACATTCGGTTTCTTTACTAAAAGTGCTAATGACAAGTCAGTTTTTAGAACAGATCCCTGTATTTGGTATGTCCTGAGTCTGGATTTCCAGCCATTGCTACCAGTAAAGCTGAAGAAGAACTGGGCACTTGCTTGCACTCTTTACGTCAACTGCCAACTTGAACTTTTCATTTGTGTAGCTGATAAACATCTCAAAAGTAACATTTTCCAAGGGGAATGCATGGCTTACTCCATACATAATAAAGGGATAATAAAATACTCAGTTCTCAAAGCATTCTAAATAGGACAAGCAGCAGGAGAAATTAAGAAAAGCAAGTATTAGCTCAACAGTGCTAAGAGTCGTTATTAGTTGACCATAGGACCTTCACTGTAATCCCAGTGAGTAGCACACAATTGAGAGCAGAGCTTTGACCTGACACCAGCCAAATGCTCTAGATCCCTGGGGCAAGATAAATCCGATTTTTTAAAAAAGAATTATTTATTTAATTTTATTCATTATTATTATTATATTATTTGACTAAAGAGAGACAGAGAAAAAGGGAACATGAGAAACCAAGCTGCCAGTGGTTAACCATGTGGCAGTCTAGCGCTCCAACCACTATGCCACCTGCCAGCCCAATTCTGATATTTTGGGGTTTTGTTACTTCATGATAAAGAACGTATGCACACACAAGAAAGAGAGAAAAAGAAAAAGAAAAAGAAAAAAGTACCTTTGACAAGGTCTTACCACATGCCCTCTTTCCCCACCCTCAAGCTTGTCAGTATCTTGGGCACACACACTTATCAAGTGTATTTTCAAGCTGACCTACGGATCTAACCCACAGTCAGCCATATGGCTTCCAGCACTACAGTTCAATTTGTTACCAACTGCACCACCAAATGGTGCCGATAATCAGTAATCTCTATTTTGATCGTGCAGACCTTCTATTTTTAATTGCCGGTTCACATAGCTGTATGTTGGAATAATTATTTTAGGAATACTTTCATTACCAAAGAAAAACCAAAACTTTAACATCAAGTTTGTAGTAGCATCTTGCTCTTACAATTTGCTTTTTTTTTTTTTTTCTTTTTTTTGGAGAGGTTTTCTCTTATTGGGCGCGTGCGCTCGCCAGAAAGAGAGACAGACAAGAGAGATAGAAAGCAATAAATCATCCCCCAAAGGGGATAGCTACGCCACAATCCCTTCTCAATTCTCCTCTTGGGATCTTGGGCATGCACACACACGCACCCGGCGTGAGTTTAAGCCACTGGATCCAGGACTCGAACTGTAGTCGACTACATGGGAGTCCAGCGATATAGCCATTATGCTAACTGCTGGTCCCCTGTTTGCTTTTTCATACCAATAAATGGGAATTTAGATAGGTTTCTTCTCTTAACTAAAAAAAGGACTTGGTTGTTGGCCCTCTTTTTTCTTGTGGGATCTCATCTAGTTCCATGGCATCTCCACCCTCAGCTCCCCTCATCACGTCAACTGTCTACTTGAAAATTTCATGTGAATAGTGATAAATATCCCAAATGTAACATTTTCAAAGTGGAATGCATGGTTTACTCCATACATCTTGTTTTATAAATGATCCCCTCTGTTCACCCAGTCACTCAGACCAAAAGCTAACAACTAAAATTTTTAGGTTACTTCCTATTTTTTTCCTTTTCTCTACATCTAGTCCATCGGCAAGTTCTATATTCTAGCCTTAGAATATATCAATACTGGGGCCAGCAGTTAGCGTAATAGCTATGTCGCTGAACTCCCATGTAGCCGACTGCAGTTCGAGTCCTGGACCCGATGGCTTAAATTCAGGCCAGGCGCGTATGCGTGTGTGCCCAAGATCCCAAGAGGAAAATGGAGGAGAAGGGATTGCGGCATGGCCATCCCTCCTGGGGGGTGATTTCTTGCTTTCTGTCTCTATGTCTCTCTCTGCCTTTCTGGCAAGTGCACTCACCCGATAGCAAAAACCTCTCAAAAAAATATATATATATCAATACCAACCACTTTTTACCTTTTCTGTTTACCCATTATATAGCCCAGAGCATTGTCATTTCACACACAGATCACTGCAATGGACTTTTCATTTCTTTCTCTGCTTCTGTTTTTCTCCTTTCCTGGTACATTCTCATGTAGTACAGAGTCATATTACTCCATTGTTGTAAATCCTTTGATTGCATTTATTTCACTCAAGATCCATTTCTCCTTCCCAGTCAATGTGAAACTCATTTGGGAACGTTGGATATGCTATCTCAAGGATGTACTCTGCTACCATTCCTTCGATGGAGTTTAAATATGGTGGTTCTGCATTGGCTTTTTCACTGCCTGTTTCACCTTTCTGTCTCTCTACCCTCAGAATGTTGTTTCCTGTTAAGACATAGTTCCTTTGCTTCATTCCCCTGAGATTAATATAGAGCATTAAACATTGGGTATATGTTTTTGTTCTTTTTTTAAAAAAGAATTATTTTATTTAACTTTATTTTTTAATTTGACCAGAGAAGGACAGAGTGAAAGAGAGAGAGAGAGTGAGGACAAATGAGAAAGCAGTCTGCCAGGTCCGGGACTCGAACCGCGGTCAGCCATGTGGGTGTCCAGCCCCCTTAACCACCATGCCACCTGCTGGCCCCACATTGAGTATGTGTTTGATGATGTCACTTCTTCATTTCTGAGAGCAATAAGTAGATGTCTAAACAAAATTTGAACAAAACAGTATTTTTAGTTTAAAAGTATCTTCAATTTAATATCTTCATCATTTGAATAATTAAATACTATTAATACCAAAAATGAGTCATGATAGCCGTGTATTTCACTTACTGGCGATAAGAGACTCTTCAGATATTTCCAGAAACATTGTTTTAACATCAAACTAAATTTACCTGCCCCTTTTTAACCATTATCTCCATTTTCCCCATCCCTCACCCTCTAATCATCGTTCTGTTCTCTGCTTCTGTGAGTTGAGCTGTTTTAGATACTATATAAGTGAGAATATGCAGTATTTGTTTTTGTGTGCCTGGCTTATTTCACTTATAATAATGTTCTTTGATTCCATCTATTGTCACAAATGACAGAATTTCCTCCTTGTTTAAGAGTGAATAGTTATGGACCAGCAGTTAGCGTAATGGCTATGTTGCTGGACTCCCATGTAGTCAACCGCGCGGTTCACGTACCGGACCCGGTGGCTTAAAACTCAGGCCAGGCGCGTGTGCGTGCGTGCCCAAGATCCCGAGAGGAGAATGGAGGAGAAGGGATTGCGGCGTGGCCATCCCCCCTGGGGGGTGATTTCTCGCTTTCTATCTCTCTGTCTCTCTCTCTGTGTCTGGCGAGCGCACGCGCCCTATAGCAAAAAAAACTCTCCAAAAAAAGGAAAAAAAAAAAAAAAAAGAGTGAATAGTTATGTGTAAGTACTAAATTTTCTTTATCTATTCATCTGTTAGTAGACACAAGTTGGTCCCATAACTTGGCTGTTGTAAATAATGCTGTAGTGAACATGAGAGCAGACATCTCTTGAACAAACTGATTTTACATCTTTTGGGTAAATATCCAAAGGGAAGGTTGCTGAATTATATGGTAATTGTATGTTTAGTTTTCAGAGGAACCTTCATACAGTTTTCCAAATTGGCTGTACTGATTTACACTTCCACCAAAGCATACAGTGTTTCTTTTTTCTACACATTTTCATTGACAATTGTTATCTTTTTCCTTTTTGATAACAGTCATTCTGACAAGTGTGAGATGATATCACATTGTGGTTTTAATTTGCCTTTCTCTAATGGTTAGCAGTGTTGAGTATTTTTTCACATATATTTTGGCCATTTGTATTTTCATTTGTGGGGTATGTGTGTGCATACATGTGGTTATAACGCCTTTATTTTTTTGAGAGGTTTTTGCTATAGGGCACGTGTGCTCGCCAGAAAACCAGAGAGAGACAAAGAGACAGAAGGCAAGAAATCACCTCCCACGGGGGATGGCCACACCGCAATCCCTTCTTCTCTCAGGATCTTGGGCATGCACGCACACGCACCTGGCACGAGTTTAAGCCACCAGGTCCGAGACTCGAACTGCAGTCGCTAACTGCTGGTCCCTAATGTCTTGATCCTAGCCTCCCAAGTAGCTTGACCCATAAGCAGTCACCAACACCTTGGCACTTTCAGACAAGATCTTGCTCTGTTGCCCACAGTGGCTAAAAGCTTGTGTGCCTCCAACTTCAGCCTCCTAACTAGCTGCAACTACAGGCACACACACTACTGCACCAGGCTTTTCTGGGTAGGACAGGAATGGAACCCAGACTGCTCATGTGCCCTCACCCTGCTGAGGAGCAGCATCCATACACTATAGCAGTTGGGCTTATGTCTATTTTGAGAAATATCTGTTAAGATCCCTTGTCCTTTTTTTTTTTTTTCTTTGGAAAGGTTTTTGCTTTAGGGCACATGTGCTCGCCAGACAGAGAGAGACAGAAAGCGAGAAATCAACCCCCAGGGGGGATGGCCACACCACAATCCCTTCTCCTCCATTCTCCTCTCAGGATCTTGGGCACGCATGCACACGCGCCTGGCATGAGTTTTTAAGCCACCGGGTCCAGGATGTGGACGACAGGGGAGCCCAGCGTCTTAGCCATTACACTAACTGCTGGTCCCAGAATTATTTCATTTAACTTTATTTATTTATTTATTTTAGTTTGACCACAGAGGGGGAGAGGGAGGGAGGGGGAGAGAGAGAGAGAAAGTAAGAAAGCAAGCCACCAGGTCTGGGACTCAAACTTCAGTTGCCCATGTGGGAGTTTAGTGCCCTTAATCACCATGCCACCTGCCGGCCTCACCCCTTGTTCATTTTTAAATTGTTTTATTTTGTTTTCTGACCACCAAGTTGTTTGAATTCTTTATATCTTTTGGATATTGACACCTTATTAGATGTATGGCTTGCAGATATTTTTTCACCCGCAGGTTGTTTCCACTGTTAATTGTTTACTTTGCTGTGCAGAAGCTTTTTAGTTTAATTTAATCCCATGTATTTGTGTTCACTTTTGTTGCCTGCACTTCTGGGGTTTCTCACTGCCCAGGCTAATGTCATGTTTTTTCCCCTATATATTCTTCTACTAATTTTAAAGTTTCTGGTCTTAGGTTTAAATCTTTAATACATTTTCAGTTTTTGGTATATAGTGTGAAATAAGGGTCCAGTTTCATCCTTCTGCATGTGGATATTCAGTTTTCCCAAATCTTTAATTGAAGAGACTATCCTTGTCCCATTGTGTATTTTTGACACCTTTGTTGAAAATTGATGAAGTGTACATGCAAGGGTTCATTTCTGGGCTATCTGTCCTGCTCCATTAGTCAGTACCCTTTTTTTGGCCAGTGCCGTACTGTTTTAATTACTTTACTGATACAGATCAGAATCAGGTAGATGCCTCCATCTTTGTTCTTTTGTTTATAATTGCCTTAACTATTGGGTATTTTTGTGGTTCCATATGAATTTTAGGATTTTTTTTCCCTATTTCTATGAAAAGTGACATTGGAATTTTCATACAGATTGCATTGAATCTGTAGATTACTTTGGGTAGTATGAATATTTTGACAATATTCCAATCATGGGATATCTTTCTATTTGTCTTTTTTTTTTTAGTTTCTTTCATCAACATTTTATACTTTTCATTATATAGATTATCTCCTTGGTTAAATTTTTTCTTGAGACCAGCAGTTAGCGTAATGGCTATGTCACTGGACTCCCACGTAGTTGACCAAGGTTCGAGTCCCGGACCCGGTGGCTTAAACTCATGCCAGACGTGTGTGCATGCGTGCCCAAGATCCTGAGAGGAGAATGGAGGAGAAGGGATTGTGGCGTGGCTATCTCCCCTGGAGGGTGATTTCTCGCTTATATTCAAGTGTTGATATTGCACATCCATATCTTGCTCCAGATCTTAAAGGAAATTTTGCTTTTCAGTTTTATACCATTGAGTCTAATATTAGCTGTAAACTTCTCACATGTGGCTTTTACTGTGTGAAAGTACTTTACTTCTGTACTTAATTTGTTGAGAATTTTTTGTCATGAAAGGATGGTAACTTATCCTTTGTTCTGTTAATGTGATGTCTACCATTATTTGGATATGTTGAACCATTTTTGGATCCCAGGAATAAATTTCATTTGATCATGGTGTGGTGGTCCTTTTTAGTAAGTTATTGAACTGAGTTTGTTAGTGTTTTTGTTTTTAAGATTTTTGCATACGTGTTCATAAAGATATTTAATTGTTGTTTTCTTTTTTTGGTAATTTCCTTCTCTGACTTTGGTATGGAGGTAATGCTGGCCTTGTAAAAAGAATTTGAGGAGCCAGCATGGTGGTTAAGGCAATGACTATGGCCGACCGTAGTTTGAGTGCTGGACCTTCACCGGGTGCACATGTATACATGCTCAAAATCTGGAGAGGAGAATGGGGGAGAAAGAATTGCAGCCATCCCTCTGAGGGTTGATTTCTTTCTGTCTTTGTTGGGTGAATACGCTCTATGGCAAAACCAAAATAATTAACTTTGAAGTATGAATTCCCCCTTCAGTTTTTTAGCAGAGTTTGGGATGGGTTTGTTAGCTCTTTATTAAATGCTTGGTAGAAGTCAGCAAGGAAGCCACCTTGTTCTTGGCTTTTCTTTGATGGGAAGCATTTATTACTAATTTAACCTCTTAACTTGCTGTTGGTCTGTTCAAATTTTGAACATAGGCCTAAATAATTATTTATTTTATTTAACTTTATTTATTTTAATTTGACCAGAGAGGGACAGCAAGAAGGAGGGAAGGTGAGCAAGCAAGCTGCCAAGTCCGTGACTCAAACCACGGTCAGCCTTGTGGGAGTCCAGCGCCCTTAGCCAACACTCCACCTGCAGCCCCATAATCGCGTGGTGGTGTTATTGTTGTTGCTTTAAATAATCATCTGCAGGTTTTTCCAAGAAGAAATAACTATATTGAGGCAAATAGCAATAAGCTTTCGAAAAGCTGCCTTTTCTTTGATGCTTTCATATGTTCTCTGCTTTTTTTGTAGGCCTTTGAACTGGCCACAGGTGACTACTTGTTTGAACCTCATTCAGGGGAAGAGTACACTCGAGATGAAGGTGAGTCCCCTTACCCAAGGATGTTGATGCATGATACTTCGCTTTCCACTTATTAGTACTAAAAGCCTTAATCTTGTTATTGTGTTAAATATATATAAATCTCAGAAAAGACAGAACTATAGAAGATCTTTTATATTAGGTACTAGATGGGCAGGTTCAGCATCTCTAGTTTTAAGATCCAAAACTCTTTGAGCACCAACATTACGCCTCAAGTGGACTATTTTACACCTGACCTCATGTGACAGGTCACAGTGAAAATGCTAATACCTGGCCAGTCAGTGGCATAGTGGTTAAGGTAATTGGATCCCATATGGCTGACCTGAGTGGTTTGAATCCTGAACCTGGCAGCCTGAAAAACAGACCGGCATGTGTGCATGTGTTTCCAAAATCCCAAGAGGAGAATGAAGGAGAGGGGATTGCAGTATGGCCATCCCCTCTGGAGGGTGCTTTTGACTCTCCCCCTCTCTCCCTCCCTCCCTCTGTCTCTCTCTGGCAAGCACCCATGCCCTAGAGCAAAACTGTTAAAAAAAAAAAAAATGCTGCACCACAAATATACTACAACTTGAAAATCACTCCAGGTGTGCGTGCATGCCTGCCCAGAATCCCAAGAGGAAATGGAAGAGAAGGGATTGCATCATGGCTATTCTCCCAGGGAGTGATTTCTCACATTCCCTCTTTCTTTCTCTGGCAAGCGCATGCACCCTATGGCAAAATCCTTTAAAAAGAAAAGAAAAGAAAAAGGGCTCTACTAGAGGATTAAGAATTATTTATTTAATTTTATTTATTATTATTATTTTAATTTGCTATAGGACATGCATGCTTAACAGACAGAGAGAGAGGAGAAGAGAAAATGAGAAAGTAAGACGCCAAGTCCAGGATTCGAAACGTGGTTGGCCCTGTGAGGGTTTAGCACCTGAACCACTATACCACCTGCTAGCCCCAAGGCAATTATTTTAATATGTAAACTAACTACTTGAATGCAGAGACTATTCTATTTTTATAAATTCTGCAACACCTAACATTCCTTTTCCCTTTTGTGAAAATTAAAGCTATAATTCTTGTTAAATGATACTAGCATTTTAGAATTCCATTATAAAATAAAATACGGATTTATATTCTATTATGGCCAAGTTCTTTTCAAGAAAAGCTCAAGTTCTCAGTTATGCCTTCTGAGAGACTGTAAAAGCAGACAACTGTGTTTTTCAATTTTCTCTATCATGGCAGCATCCAAATAACTAGATTAGTTAATAATTTGAGTGAAGAAACAATTAGAGAAATGCTTTACCTTTACCTTCTTTTTTATACAATCTAAGCAGTTTTGTGTACAGGATTAAAGAGTTGTTTTATTGTGTCTTTTTGTTTTAGTGGTTTTTGCCTTAGGGCATGGGCTTGCCAAAGCGGAGAGAGACATAGTGAGAAGGAAAGTGAGAAATCACCCCACTGGGTGAGATGGCCATGTTGCAGTCCATTCTCCTCCTGGGATCTTGGGCACTCATACACATGCACCTGACATGATTTTGAAGCCTCTCAGTCCAGGACTTGAACCGTGGTCAGCCATGTGAGAGCCCATCGACATAACCACTGTGCCATCTGCTGGTTCCAATGAGTATTATTTTGAGAGAACATCAGCAGCATCCCTCCTTCCTCCAGTAAGGAGACTATGTCCTTTACCTTCTATTTCCACTCGTCTTGAGGAAATCAGGTTTTGTGTTCTGTTGAACTGAGAATGCTCTGTTTCTCAGAATGTACTCCCTTGGTATATTGATAGACAATGTTATGAGGCATGCTAATATTCCTAATAAATATTGTTTGGCAAATAATATGCTCATTTCCACAGCTAAATGCCAACTTTTGTAGGTATAGTGTGGATGGGTGTACTTTGTCTATGTAAGCCTCTTGTTAGAAGGCACTAGAATCACCAGCTGTGTACACTCCTAATTGTTCCTGCGCTCTGCTTTTTTTCTGGGTTATAAGTTTGTAGTTATAGGTTTACACTGTCTTAGAAATGCTCCACTCTTATCTATTTGGGATGGTTATTAATTTCTTTCTGTTTACTTCCTTAGACTCTGTAACTATTAGTGTGTGGTATAGAACACAAACAGTAGCTACAGTTACAGTGAGTAGGGCCTCCTGCTACCAGGCTTGAGGATAAGTAAGTGTGAAAAGTCCCAAGTAAGGAGTCAAGAGAGAACCACGCCCTGTAGATGTTGAGGCCTTCATTCACTCCTTCCTCTAGCAGGACCAACCTGCACTTTCCTGCTGTAGTCTGGCTCCTATGAACAGAAAGGAGCAGACTCTTACTAGTGTATGCAGAGTTTGTCCAAGTCATGGTAGGGCTGGGTCCTAAGTAGTATGTTTTCTGTTGTTGACATTACAGAGCACAAACTCTTGAGATAATTTTGCCTATCAAGTATGTCAGTCTTATGGTTAATTGATAAGCCAAAGACAGATTGCCAGAATTAAATGTAAAATGACCATTTCAAGGGAAAAGTAATTCCTGGGTACAGGGAAATATATTAAATGAGCAATCTTCACATGGAGGTTTACAGTAAAAGAAATGAGTCTCATTTATTCTTTTGGTATTCCTAATTTGCTTCTTGTTAATGGTAATTTATACAAAGACTTTATTAGTATGTCCTACCTAAAATAGAAATTTCTTGGTAATTAGGTACCTTTTACCAAACCATAAATTCAATAAAAATTTCTCAAAGATGGTAGTGAATATGAATGTAAAGTCCTTTTACAGTGATACACTGGGCTCTTTATATGAGAAAGAAGTATGACTTCACCAATTCCCAGATAATGTGTCTCTAACATGATTTGTCTTATAAAGTTCGTAATTAGAAGTTTTTAAATACTTCTTATCCTTAGTGATTCTGTACCTGTAAGAGTAAAGTCCTTTATTTTCTGGCTAGGAGCCATCCTCTCTTTCTTTCTTTCTTTCTTTCTTTCTTTCTTTCTTTCTTTTTTTTTTTGGGGGGGGGGGGGGGAGGGTTTTGCCTTTAGGCGTGTGTACTTGCCAGGGAGAGAGAGACAGAGATAGTGAAAGAGAAAGTAAGAAATCATCTCTAGGGGGATGTTCACACCACAACCTCTTCTCCATTCTCCTCCTGGGATCATGGGCGTGCAAGCACACACAGCCACCTGGCATGAGTTTCAAGCCACTGGGTCTGGGACTCAAACCACAATTGGCCATGAGGGAGTCAATAGCGTAACCACTACACCATCTGCTGGTCCCAGAGCCGTCATTTTTAAAGGCCCGTTCATATTCTTAGTTTCTGTCATCTGCATAGTATAAAGGGCAGTAAAGCTGCCTTTAAATGTGAATACTGGCTGTTCTCAGGCCCATCCCCTGGCTAACAGATTGCGTAACAAATGGCAGTATTCAGTGTGACAGTTACAGGTCACTGTATGACTGGGACGTCTTAGTGGCCTCCAGTCACATAGCTGGGCTTAAGGATGTTTGTGCTAATTTTTACTTGTGTGAATTTAGAAAAAAAAATAGTTCTAGATTAAACTTGATAACATGTAGGTTTCCATTTGCGTTCCAGGCCATATTAGCACTGATACTTCAAGTAGGCCATGTCTTTCTGTGATTGCATTTTCTCACCTTTTAAAGGAGATAGGATATTTTGGCCTGTTTTGTAGGATGATTGTTAAAAATCATGTGAGTGTTTGGTCTTAAATATCTTATATAAGATGATATTTTTACTACTTACAACCCAGAGGGATATAACAAATAATAATTCTACAATGCCTAAAGCATATTGTTACAATTTTTTTCTTTTTCTTTTGCCTTACCTAAAGAACCCACCTGAACTTAACTATGTAGACGAAATAGAAGTAACGATAAGCCTCCAAAACCCAGAATGAGGCTTGCCAGCTACTATCAGGTGAACAAGCACCTGAAATAATTCTTGTTCTTCCCTTGAATAGCCTTGGTTTTACTTGTAGTTAATTGTAAATACCCTGTCCTTGAAAAAGCTATTCACAGAGAAACCTCTTTTACAGCTTATCCTTGATCCTGTTCTTCTTGCCCTTCTATTTTAGACCACATTGCGCATATTATAGAGCTGATAGGCAGAATTCCAAGACGCTTTGCCCTCAGTGGGGAATATTCACAGGACTTCTTCAATCGCAGAGGTAGTATCGTTAACATGAGTCTCGATGTAGACCCCAGGGACGCGACTTCAGGAAGCAGAGCATTCACACCGTTGTTTTCCCTGTCTCTCAAGTCCACTGGAGAGGGTGTCTGATTTTTGTATGATTTTTCCGGATTCTCCAGTTAGATGGATAGAGTCCTCCTCTTTCATTTAGAAGAGAAAGCAAGCCTGAAATGCTTTACAAAGAGGTGTGCATGCTACTCTTTCTGGCAATGTCTAGAGATGCCTTCATTACCGCTGTTATGTATGTCTTTTTTTCCCCCTCTTGAAATGTTTGAAACACACAGATCACATTGCATTGATCATAGAACTTCTGGGGAAGGTGCCTCGCAAGCTCATTGTGGCAGGAAAATATTCCAAGGAGTTTTTCACCAAAAAAGGTAAAATAAATGTATGTGTTCTCAGACATTAAGTGGGCAAAAGTGTTTAAACGTGAAAAGGTAAGTCTAGTTGGGTATGTTTCCAACATCCTATAGAAGGATAAGCCCAACTTGAATGTGGGACTGTGACATCGCAAAAGGGTGAGGTCTTGTAGTCAAGAGCGGCGACTGGCTGCTCCACTAGCTTTGTGACCTTTGGCACAACCACACTTACACCTGACTTTCCTGAATGGGGATAATGTCCTTCATTAGTTAATGCATGTCTAGCAGTTTACACGTGGTTGACTACTCCTACTATAATACTTCCCAAAAATGGACACATTTTTGCTGTCATTTGGTCTAAGAACTGCCTCTACCAAAAGATAAACAGTTTAGTTTAAGCTTCTTAAAAGCAGGGGCTACATCTCAGTCAGTGATGCCTAGCACATTTACTCACATTCGTCACACAGACCAACCTTATGCTTTTCAGTCTCATAAGATTATGTTGTTAATGAAAGACACAAAGATAAAACTCTGGCCTCGGATTTTGGCCATGATAATGTGTTTTTCTCAACCCTCAACAGGAGTTATACTCAGAAACATTATTCATTCTTAAACCTCTGTTTGGGCAGGAAAATGGTGAAGTGCTTTATAAGAATTCCTCCTATATTTTAAAAAATCGTCACTTCAAAGAAACCTTAGATTGGTGCTCTAGAGTAGAATGGGGTATGATGCTACTGTGCTGAATCTGTATAGGGTTCTTTAGTTTTGTTGTATTTATGCATGCTTGGCATGATGTTGGCTCTTGCAAATTACTGCCTCATTCTGAAGCAACATTTACTAAACTATTGAGCAAAAAAAACTACAAGCAGATTGTTCCTAATATATGGTGATAGACTGCCTCTGCACATCACGTGAGGCCGTGTTGAGTACTGAGGAATTTAACATTCACGTCAGTGAGTATGTACTTCCTGATAGGCGTACTCAATTTGGGACAAACGAAAAATCCTGGAATAGAAGACATGCTGTCTTAAAGTTTTAGGCCCTTATAGAAAATAGAGGCACTTCTTTTCAAGAAATATATTAAGAGAAGTGCTTTGTAAGTAGAGTATTAGATTCTGATTGGGAAATTTCATTCTCTGTCGACTACCTGGATTAGTTCCTGGATTTCCTCAAGAGGATCTTATTGGTTGTCAGTAGTGGTCAGTTTCTTTTGTGCTGTCTTTACTGCAGGTGACCTGAAACACATCACGAAGCTGAAACCCTGGGGCCTTTTTGAGGTTCTAGTGGAGAAGTATGAGTGGTCTCAGGAAGAGGCAGCTGGTTTCACGGATTTCTTACTGCCCATGTTGGAGTTGATCCCTGAGAAGAGAGCCACCGCTGCTGAATGCCTCCGGCACCCCTGGCTCAACTCCTAAGTCCCTGCCCGGTGCCGCAGCAGAGATCACACTGACCCTCCACCCTTCCTCTCCGAGCATTTCCCTCTTCCCTTTTCAGGGTGAAGCTCTTCCTTCAGGAGTTTCTAGATTTTTTTTCCCTAATCCAACATGTTCATTTGGGTTTGCTTACTTGACCCTGTGGAGATCCCCACAGCCATTGGGCATCCTAGGTGAATCTGGCCTTGGTTGGGCTCTGCCAAAGACAGTGGACTAAGTGTGAAGCAGCCTCTCACCCTATACCCTTGCCTTTCCATCAGGACATTCTTTAAACTATAAGCATCCTTTTTAAAAAGAGGTATGAAGATGTATGAATCCATCCTTTTATTCACTGACTCTAAGAGTCAACTTTTCTAGTGCATATCCTCTTGCCAGCATAAGGATGAGGAGGGGAAGGAAGGGGTGTTAATTCCTTGTACAGCAGAAACATTAAACTTGCTGTATCCAGGCTGCGTCATCTTCCTGGATTGTTTCTGTTGTTCTTTATGTTCACATTTCTTCCTGCGGCTTTTAAGCTATTTACCTTTTTAAATGAGCTGTATAAACACCGAATTTGAATACCATTTTATCACTGTTCAAAAGCACCGTCAAATTACTTTCATCCTTTAATAATTCTAAGTTCCTTGAATCTTCGGTCTGATTTTTAATATAAACACAGATGGAACCATTGAATAATAGTTTCTTGAGAACCTCGGGTGTTCTGCAAGTAGTCCTTTTCTGTTACCTTAAGAGCAGAGTGATTTTGACTGCTTTATTTTGTGTTCTTTCAGTCTTTGGCTGGCACTTTACTCATTGCACTTGAGTGCCCCATAACTGTGGAGTTGAGATGACTCCAGAAAGGAAATCTAGGCTTCAGACCTTTCCATCTACCAAGAAAATGTCCTAGAATTCCAGTTCTTTCCCAAGCAGTCTCCCTGCTTTTTTTTTCCACATTTTTCTTTACCTTGCCCAAATTTCTGGCCTTGAAGCAGTTTCCTTCTGTGACTTTGCCTTTCTCATTTTCTCAGAGCCTTGGGATCTTTACTAAAACTCTGGATAAAAGAACCAAGGGGAGGGGTGGGACAACACTTTTTTGGTTGGATTTTTTCCCCCTTTGATTTTTAAGATTAGCCAGTCTCTGCTGCTATTTCCTTGCATAAAGTAAGTTTTTAACCACCATTTTGAGATGATTGAGATGTACGTGAGGCCTTTTTTTATATATATGAGAAAAGGCTTGGCGAGTTTTATTTTAGGGTTAGCCTCTCCTAGACTTGCCCTAGACAGTACATATCCCTCGGGTAACACTGAAAAGCAAGAGGGCAGGATTGGGGTCACAGCCGCTTGCTCAGCATGGACCAAGTGGGCCTTGGGAATTACAGCATTCTCTGGACATGGCTACAGGACTCTCTTAATTTACAGAGAGCCAAGGAGATGCAACTTGAGGCTCTACTAACGGGATAATCAATGAGGCTGTTGGGTAACCACCTTTCTATATGGGAGAGTGAAATCTAGTTTCTAGTTACCCACCAACAGCGACCCAAGGAAAAAGCGATGCCATTGTGCAATCCATGAACCCATACATAGTTACACTGAGTCACTGGCCATTCATCGGATCCTTAATTGGGTACTCCTGAAATCAGACATGTTCCTGTAGAAAGAATTTTAAATGAAGCTGTCTATGCACCTATCAAGACTAAAGAGAACAGACTGTATCAAACAACGGCAGGGAAATCCTTCAGCAATCTAATCTATTTTGGGTTTTCAGCTGTATTTACTTCTGAAGCAATAGCGGACCAGAACTGAATTCTCTTCTACATTGTAAAATCACAGTTGTGGAGTTACAGCAATTCTGGTGGTGATTTTTAAAATGAGCTAACCAAGAAACATACAAAGAGAAGGCCCATTTTAACAGTTGACATGCCAAGAAATTTTAGTAGGAGAAGGAACCTTTAACTTCACGTTGGAAAAGTTTCCCCACCAAATAAGGGCTTTACCCCCTGTCACTTAAGGAGCCAGATGACTGAGAAGATGTGGAAAGAGGCAGCTGTAGAACTTGGTCTTCCAGGTACCATGTGTACCTTTTTTGAGCTTAATCATAATACTGTCAAATCGTCAGGATCTCACTAAAGGATTTCTATTTGCTGTCAGTTAAAAATAAAACCCTGAATACATTTTTATTCTTTCTACTGAGTACATTGTCTGTTTTCTTTGGAAATGCAGTACAATAAACAATTATATAATAACCTGCTTGTCCCCAGAAGATTTCTGTCGCTCTCTTGCCCAAGTTGGCCTGTCCCAAGCAGTTGGAGAAAAAGATCAGTTGAGTATGCTTTTTGAATTTAAAGGTGCAAAGAAAAAACTTGGCATTTTGTGAGGTTTGTAGTTTTCTTATAGCTTTAAACTGGGGATGGAGTGGAATAACAAAGTACACTTGGAAAAACTAAGAAAATTATTATTCTCTATATCCAGTAGCATTTTCCCATAACATTGTAGGGTTTGGGGGTTTGGGTTCTTTTTTTTCCCCTGCCACCTCTGCTACCTTCCCCACATCCAAATCAGGTAACAAATGCAATATTTGCAAAATGCAGGAGATTTGAAATCAAGTCATCTCTAAATCTAAGATGTTGGTAAGATGAGCGCTGTAATAGACAGATTTTCATATTCTTGTCCAATTCACCTCTTAGACTAAGTTCTTAGAAATGGAATGGCTAGGCAGAGAGTAAGCACATTTTTAAGACTTAATAAAAAGTGCCCAATCAATCGAGACAAGTGTTTGGGCCTGTTGTAAAGATCTCTTATTTCTAATAACTAATTTGCCAAAAAAGGAGTATCATCTTGTTTTAATATGCATATTGAATTACTGGTGAGGTCAAAACTAAACTGTTTTCATGGGTTTTGTTGGACATTTGTATTTTTTTGGTTATTGCCTAAATTACCCAGCTTTCTTTTGCTTCCCCCTTTGGTGACTTGGTCAGGATTTGTGATATATTAAAGGTAATTTTTGTCATGTTTGCTTATTATACTTGCCCAGTTTCTAATTCGTCTTTCATTTTCATTTGTGGTTATTTTTAATGTCATTTGTAGACGGTCCTTCCCCACCTTTCGCTGAACTACATAAACAGTTCTAGTTCACTTGTTTTAATTGTGTGATACTTAAGGCATATGGACTGGCCCTGTAGCGCAGTGGTTAAGGGAGCTGGATCCCATGTAGCTCACCACGATTTGAATCCCAGCTCCAGTAACGTGGAAAGCACTCCAGACCTCTGTATGTGATGGCCAAAATCCTGATGGGAAGAAGAAATGGAGGAAAGGGTTGCGGTGAGACCACACACCATTAGGGGATCCTCTCTCCTCTCTGGCAGTAAATTACTTTTTTTAAGTTTTGTTTGTTTGTTTTGGAAATACTGTGTTCATAGTGTTGGTCAGAATGTAGCCTATGGGCATTCATCAACCAATTTGGTTACCACACTGACCAACCTAGATAGTGCCTCTAAGTATTAAATGTATTTTATATGTAGAACTCCCAAGCCTTTGGGAGACTGCTGTTGCAGGAGAACTTGTAACTGTTTTCAAAGAACCCAACAAAATAGAGTTGCAACTCTACTTTTAACTAATTTGGTAGACCCTGAATATCTACAGGGAAACCATTTAGGTGCTCCAGAGCAGACCAAATATAAATGGTCTTCATGACTGCTGATTCTTTTACCTTTGAAGCCCATAAAGTCTTCCTGTTCAGCCTTCTGAGGAAAGTGTTTTGCTCTTAGACTTCTCTATCACAGGAAACGGGTGATTGTATTACTGATCATAGATTTTGAAATTGTTTTAATTTTGAGAGATTTTTACTATTTGACACATGCTCACTGGAGAAACAGAGAAAGTGAAAGATCACCCCCAACCCCCCTTATCCCCCCCTCCCCAGGGAATGGCTATGCTGTAATCTCTTCTCCATTGTCCTCTTTCATATTTGTTTAAAACTATGGCCTTGGGACTCTCCATGGCATGGTAGTTGAAGCAGCTAGGTCTTACATGGCTGGCTGAGGTTGCTTGGGGAATTGTGCTGGCCGCATGTGTGTGCATACCTCGGTTCCTGAAAGAAGGGAGAAATGAAGGGGAATGGAATTGCAGCATAACCATTCCTCATGGTAGGGTAGGGATATGCTTTCTCATTTTCCCTCTGGTGAGCTCATGCACCCTCTGGCCAAAAAAAAAAAAAAAAAAAAATTAAAGAATTATTTATTTAATTCCATTTGCCGTTATCATTATTTTAATTTGACCTGACAGAGACACAGCGAAAGAGAAAGCAAGAAAGCAAGCTACCAGGTCCAGGACTCGAACTGTGGTTGGCCATGTGGAAACCCAGAGCCTCTATCCACCACGCCACCTGCTGACCCCATCTGGAAAAAATGTTAAAGTAATAAAACAGCCTTATTTGAAGATTGAAGAGTCAGTGTCTTGGGAATTAGTAAAGCATTGGTGACTTAAAACTCTCAACAGTCATCTTTAAAATAATATAGAAAGGATTATAAACCTTGAGGCCTACTGAGAAGTTTGTATCACTGGAGATATTTTTTTAAAGTTGGAGGGGTTTTTTGTTGTTTTTTAAAGAATTATTTTAACTTTATTATTATCATCATCATTTTTCAATTTGACCAGAGAGAGAGAGTAGTGAGAAAGGAAGCCACCAGGTCTGGGACTTGAACCACGGTAGGCCATATGGGAGTCCAGTACCCTTAACCACCATGCCTGCTGGCCCCAAAGTTGGAGTTTTAAAAAACTACATGAATAATATGCATTCAAGTCCTTAACTATTAATCCACATAAAGACCTTGTGATACCAGAAATATCCCAATTATCAAGCCAGAAAATCAGAGATTATGTTAAGTGTTCAGAAAATTTAACCAAGAAATTAAGCAAGTTTATCTTACTGTACCTAGTTTTCTAGGGTAGAGGTTTTGTTTATTTATAGGGTGTGTGTGCTCAATAGAAGAGAGAGTTGAGAAAGCACTTCCCAGGGAAGTGGCCATGCCACAATCCATTCTTCCAGGATTTGGGGCACACACATAAGATGCACCCGGTGTGTTTTCCAAACCACCAGAACCAGGACTCAAACCACACAATGCAAGATCCAGCTATCAACCATCTTCACCACCACACCACCAGCTGGCCCCAGGAGGTTTCTCACACATAAATGTTCAGTTTGATTTATATTCTCCCAAGTTTGCTTTTCATCACATTTGCTCCCTGAATGCCTATCTAGTTGCTGCCTGCAAGTTGAGCTATTACTTATTTTGAGAGACAGGGACCTCTGACAGAACCTTGCAATACCTCGGTCCTCCCCCGCACCCAGCCCTCTAGCAAGCCAGGACCACAGGTGCACCTGGTGTGTTCAGATTAACCTGGGACCCTAACACCACGTCCTCCCATATGGCTCCAGTGTCACACAGCAAGCAGTGCCCCACTGCCCACGCCATCGTGGCCTGACTTGAGTCAGGTAACAGTGTCAGTAAGACGGCATTGTTTGCACTGGTTGCTTTGGATTTGCTAGGTACAGAGGAGAGTGTTCAAACCAGAAATAAATTCAGTGGGCCCTACTATAAATGTGATTAGATAACACATGGGGTATGTTTCCAGGATTGGAGCCTTTCTGCTTTCATCTTCAGTCAACCTAATTACAAAGCAAACATGCAGCCATCAGCCTGCAAGGCTACCAGCGTCTAACCTTTGTTCCAGTAAAGCATTCTTTTTTTTTTTGGAGAGATTTTCACTGTAGGGTGCATGCACTCGCCAGACAGACAGAGACATAGAGACAGAAAGCGAGAAATCACCCCCCAGGAGGGATGGTCACGCCGCAATCCCTTCTCCTCCATTCTCTCGGGATCTTGGGCACGCACGCACACGCGCCTGGCGTGAGTTTTAAGCCACCGGGTCCGGGACACGAACCGCGGTCGACTACGTGGGAGTCCAGCGACATAGCTATTACGCTAACTGCTGGTTCCCCAGTAAAGCATTCTTCAAAGTGCCCATTTCAGTGGTTACATTTTTTTTTCTTTTTTTTCTTTTTTTGAGAGGATTTTGCTATAGGGCCCGTGTGCTCGACAGAGAGACGGGAAGGGAGAAATCATCCCCCGGGGGGATGGCCACACCGCAATCCCCTCTTCCCCTCTCCTCCATTCTCCTCTCCGGATTTTGGGCACACACGCACGAAAGTGCCCGGATGAGTTTAAGCCACCGGGTCCGGGACTCAAACCACGGTCGACTACGTGGGAGTCCGGCGACAGCCATTGTGGCAACTGCTGGTCCCTCAGCAGCTAATATAAGTGAGTAACAGGCAACTTTGGAAAGGGCCCCAGTGATTCCCACCCGATATTCATGCACTTGTGTTACCGCTCGCCTCGGTGTGGGCCAGACTGTGACTGCTCTAACAGAATCGGGTAAAAATGATGGGTTACTTCTGAGATGGGGTTCAAAGGGGCTATGGTCCCCATCTGTACCCCTTCCCTTGCTCTGGAAGCCTTGTTCTGGGAAGCAGGCTGCCATGGGAGGAGCCCTGTGGAGAGACCCTCCATCCCCACAAACAGAAACTGGTTCCTGCAACCCGCCAGTGAGTGTGGAAATGGATCCAGCACAGTTGCAGCCTAGGGGGAGACACAGGCAAGGACGCCAAGCTAAGCCTCAGCACGAAAACCAAGACAGTAAATGTGTTTTAAGCCACTTAGTCGCTTGTCACACACATAATGAAAGCATTTGGGAATCCTTGGAGTTCACATTCAGCTACAAATAACTGGTCCTTCCTCTCGCAAACATTTTCCTCTGGCCTAGTCACCGACAGTGAGGCACTGTTGTGACAGTGAGGCACTGTCACCACAACCTTCGGCAGCCCAGCCCAGCCCAGCCCCAGGCAGAAGTGAAAAAATAGGCAACTTCAGAAGAATGCTGACTTTATTGATGTTTATACACTCAAACAAATGACATTCAAGGTGCCTTTAAGAATTTGTTTCAAAGGTAAAGCTACCTGAGAAGCTTAGAAGCAGGAGGTCTCTGAACCCAAATCATTACTGTCAGGTTGATCCTTAGTTTCCTCGAAAATAAAGCCAAGGGTGAAATGGTGAATCACGTGACGCACAGACAGTCGCGTTTTCCCCAGCACTGGCCATTTGGTGACCACTCTTGCTTTCCTACTTCTTTCACTCAGACTTTGAAACTCCCTGGCAAGAACAGGATGTGCTCAGAAGGCAGACGGGGC